GGGGGTGTTGGGTTGACGGTTGGACTCGATGATCTTAGAGGTCTTTTCCAACCTCAATGATTCTATGGTTCTATGATCTTCCCATCTTTGTGTCAGTACAGAGGCCCAAAAGTATTCTGAATTTCATTACTTGTTGGAAGGAAGATTGGCTTCTGACTTACCAAAATACAGTGTTTAAGCAGGTAGCATAACACAGCTGCTTGTGACTGATGTAGTGTATTCCTTTGGAAGAACTTTTTGAGCTTTAGATGCAGAGATTAATTATTAAGGTCACCTGTATTGATATTTTAAAGAGCACAGTCCCACACAGCTTATTCTGCAACTCCAGGATCTGTTGATACATTGTCCTGTTAAGTCCTTTTAACTTGTCTTGACCTTTTAACATGTGCACAAGACCATTGAAAATAGTGACTTTTAAAACAACTGAGCTTGCTTAGCTGTGGTAAAATTTGACTACTTTGACAATTCTTTGCACTCGGGATTAACCTCTTGAGTGTCCTGCATGTGTGTTTCAATCTGCAATCGTTCTTCTTGCAGGGTTGCTCACTATAAAAAAAAACCCTTAATTGCAAGTGGAATAATGTGATGGAGTCAGTGTGTGTGTGTTTACCTACATATATCTATTATCTACATCACACTTCTGTTTCTGTACATATGCAGTAAGAATATTTTCTGGCATTCAGTTGCTAATCTAAGATAAAGGAAAGATCTTATGAAAATAAATTCATTTATTAGCGAAAGTATAAACAACTCTAAAACAAACTATTTCCAATATCAGTTAAGAAACACTGTTCTGTGTCAACGGAAGCAATGATCCTGGATTCTCTAGCTTTATAGGAGGTTAATAGCACAGGTATTTTGCAATCAGTAATCAAGCAGATAACCTAGCAAAGTTCTGAAATGTGAGGCAGAATATTACAGATCGGTGAGTAGAGGAACTATATGGGAAGGAAGGAGAGGTAGACATAAACTAATTAAAAAAGAAAACAGAATATGAGAGATAGCTGCTTACCTATTCTAGTGTATGTATTATATTACACCTGGTAAATATACACAACTATGATCCCTTACCAAACCATGGTTGAGAATTGAAGCTTTTGGAAATAAGAGGGGAGAAAAACTATATTGTTTGTATTGGGTGTGTATGTGGTGGGGAGCCTTTTTGGGTGGGAGCTGTAGTAGCACAGAGCTCAGATTTTCAATTTTTGATCAGTGCCTTTAAAATCTTTCTTCCATTTACAGGTTCCTCCTGAAGATACAGCTTCACCAAGAACTTCATTCAGCGTTCAAGGGCTCAGACCCTACACAGAGTATGTCTTTTCAATTCGTTGCATGAAGGAAGATGGAGTGGGCTACTGGAGTGACTGGAGTGAAGAGAAGACTGGGGTCACCACTGAAGATAGTAAGTAATATATGAAAGTAGGTCACTGATTTTCAAAATGTGTGAGTGCTCAGCAATTTGGCAGCCAGATGAAATTGTGTATCCTTGCTTGAGCTGTTTGATTATACATGCAACAAGACTCTACTGAGTTACTTTCTCTACTGACTGACTTGACCCATGCATTCCAAGGAACATTAGAATAGCTTCCCCTAAAGCCAGTCTAGAGGTGCTCCCTGAAAACAGCTAAAACAGGAGGTGGGGAAGAAAAGCTTTCTTCATAGAAAGTTATATTCTCAAAGTATTTTAGAAAAGATGTAGGCTTTCTGCTTGGGGTTTTTTTTGTTCTTAAGGTTATCCTCTGTAACAGAAGCTATTCTGCCTGTGTGAAAGTTGGGGGGTTTTTTGGTAGACAGACTGCCTTAGTTTATGAACAACTTGATGTTTAGGAGGCCGTTAGATAAAGTCATAGGTGAACAAGCATCAATAAGTGTGAAACAGAAGATTTTAGTTGCATAGGATACATAGACTTCTTCACAAACTTAGTAAAGCAATAATACAAAATAATGTGCATATGGGAAGTATAGCCTTTTATGCACCAAAGCATCTAAATAAAACCCTCTGGTTTACTCTTAACTTTTCCCAAGGTATTCTGCATGTACACCACGTTCATTCTTGTCAGAGTCACTTACAGCTGCCTCTGTGCTGTCTTGTACCCACTTGTTTACAATATTCTACGCGCAGTAATCAAGAGTCTTGCTGCTCATCACTGATACAGTTGTCACTGTGAGACCCGTAAGAGAGAGTGCCATCTATAAACCACTGACTTTAAGCAAGATTGAGTCTGTGTGTGTAATGGCTTTATTTTGGCTATATTTAATCACAAAAATCACCGTTTCCTTGAAATTTCCCTTCTTGATGACATAATCATTGGAGTTGTCATCTTGTAGATCTGGGCTTGTAAAATCCTGTCCCTCTGCAGTAGGGGCGAACACTGAATTGCTGCTACCATGATTTAATGAGGAAAACTTCTTAGCAGCATCAGCTCTTTGGGGTCAGTATTTGGATCATGTTTAGTCTTGCACAAAACGACTTTGCAAGCAGGATATATACAATTTCAAAGTATAAATAGATCACTAAAGATACACAAAAGATGGCAAACCACTAGGTTAAGCTTTAAGTTCACAGCCCTGGAAGAAAAACTGCTTAAGAGTCTCAGTCAAATGTCAGCCCTCACTGCTTTGTGGAACAAATCCTCAGCATTGCAAAGTTGCTGCCATGCACCAAATCTGTTCACACTACAACCAGCTCATCAACTTGGCTGGCCTTTCAGCTCCTTGTGATGCTCCAGTCAGCTGTTAATGACATTGTCTGTTTCCACTGAACTGTATGTTCTTCAGGTGTGCTACATTGCCCTGGACTCATTCATATTCCTGCAGGACGATGACACTGAGACTGTTACTGCACTCAGTGTCTTTGAAGATCTGTGTCCGCTGTATTCCACAGCATGTTTTTTAACTTCATTGATTGCTTCCAGTTGCACGTTGCTTGAAATGTACTGTGGCATTAAAGTAACTACAACTCACTGTTAACAAATTTAATATACTTCACAGATCATAGAAGTCATTGCAGTATTTCCCCACTAGAGAGGCTCTCCTGCAAGTTTGTTCTTAAGTACAGAGGCTGTGCCTTCTGCCACTGAGTTGTGCCAAAACGATTAGTTGAGTATGTTTTCTGTTACTGATTTTTTTATCTTGTTTGGCTGTTTTGCTTTGCAGCATTTCATGACTTAGCAATTGTTGCAGCAACTGTAAACTCGTACAAAATAAAGTTGCGGTAATTATTGGAACACTAACATTAAAATCATACCCATGCATTCGTTACAGTATGAAAAATCCTGTTCTCAAATAGTGGATTCTTACATTTTCCATTAACAGAACAAAAATACATGCAGTGTGTATACAAACACAACCTAGACCTACACGTTTGGCCCTTTCATTTGGCCCTTTAATTTGCTCTCCAAATAAAAGCCCCGGGCTTTGATGTATAACTTAGCTTTCTGTGGTCTGTTTTCCTTTTGTTATTCATCTGAATAGCCCACTTAAGCTGAACTGCGACTAATTTAACGTCTTCAATAGATGCTTGAGAGGTGCTAACTGGTATCTTCTTGAATCTGAACCTCTGTTGGTGTCAGAACACCCTACATGAGTGTCTTGCTTCTTGCTAAAATGAACTAACTTCAGTGTGCTGAGCTGTTGAGGAATACTGTGCCATTAGTTGTGATATACTGCAAATGTAAATACAGTCTGTTTTCTGCTGGTAGAACAGCATTTTAACAAATTGTTGTAGCTAGCCTTCCTAATGATAACAGGATAGCCACACTTTTTCTGCATTGCTTGCTAATCAGTTAGCATTCTTTCACATTGTAGCAATAAGTTGACAGTAAAATAATTTCCTATTCTGAGTTTGCTTACAGACAACTTCAGAGGTGTGGTCACCTCTTGCAAATGCCTAGATACACTTGCAAATTTATAGGATAGTGGGATACCTTAAGTTGGAAAGGAGCTCACGAGGTCTGTAGTTCCCTGATCCTTTTTCTAGCAAGTGTCAGGCTCAGACAAGGGACTTCAGGTTGCAATTTTGGCAAAAACTGTACCAAAATTTTATTCATCAGTTTTTACTGTACAGTTGCCTATTGCAAAGATTAAATCACACAAGCAGACACTGGACACTTATGTTACTTACACCATTATTATTACCCTCAATCAAACTATAAAACTGACATTTAGATATTGTGCTTTGTCTAAGACTGTTAGACCCATATCCCAGAAGATTCCACAGCTGCTTGCCTTCTCTATTCAAAAGACTTGGTGTTTGTCTCAATAGCAAGCTACCAAGATACAGGTGTATTTACTGCTACTATATTCAGGAAGGTATAATTCTATATTTCCATATGGTTTTATCCAAGTGTTATGTTTCCAGGTGTTAAGTACTGTAACTGTCAAGTGAAGTTTCAATGGAATCCTTAAATGCCTTGGCATTTGTGCCACGGCACAAATGTACAATCATGATGCTGAAGAGTAATGCAAGCATTCTGGCAATTTTGAAATCTTTTGGCAATTGTTTTACTACCTAATCCTTATCAGGAAACATCTACTTTGTACCTCCAAATAGTGACTGTAGCCAAGGGTCTTTATATCCAGCAGAGCAGGTTGCTGCATAGCTGTGTATACTACAATAACATGCATTGCGATTTCTCAGGATTCTAGAATCAGTAAATCACCCTCAAAGAGATTTGATTTTAAAAGCTTGTTTGGTTTCCTCCTGAATCATCAGTAGCAGCAGCACTGGGAATCACTTGCTGATTTCTGACTTCAAAGAGAATTAAACAATGTGGGGATTTTAAGTCTTGTTTTTCCAGGAACTTGGTTATTATCAGTTAGAAACTTTTCTGTTCCAATTCTAGGGTTGTGAGAAGTGAAACTACTTTAGCGTGGTCCTGTTTCCATTTCACTTCTACTTTGAAAGCCTGCAAGATTGGCTTTGTTTCTGGCCTATACTGATCCTATCCCATATGGAGCCAATGAATGGACCTTCTGATTGTGTGCTTGATACCCAGTAGGGAATCTATTCTTCTGTTTGACTACTACAAATACTTTGTGATATCTGTTTAGCTTCTAAGTCAGCCTGATTGGTCTCTTTTTTTTTTTTAAATGTTGCTTTAGCCTTTCCTGCTTGCACTCTTTCTGGTCTCCTTTCTGTAATATCCTATCTGTTCCTTAGTGCCTTCCAAGGCGCCCTCTTAGGCAGTCTATTTCAGTGCACGTCTTTAAACAGTTAAACCAATACAGGCTTCATTATCAAAACATCACTTTGTTCTTGGAGCTTAACTGCCCTGGATCAGAAATCCTTCCTTATTTATCCGAACTGAGTTCCCAGTAATGAGTTTTGATTGAATTCACATGTCATCTTATATTGGAGAAGTAAGAAGATTGTAGTATATACCCTGCTTATTTAAACGTGCTTTAGCTTCCTGCTTGCACTCTTTCTGGTCTCCTTTCTGTAATATCCTATCTGTTCCTTAGTGCCTTCCAAGGCGCCCTCTTAGGCAGTCTATTTCAGTGCACGTCTTTAAACAGTTAAACCAATACAGGCTTCATTATCAAAACATCACTTTGTTCTTGGAGCTTAACTGCCCTGGATCAGAAATCCTTCCTTATTTATCCGAACTGAGTTCCCAGTAATGAGTTTTGATTGAATTCACATGTCATCTTATATTGGAGAAGTAAGAAGATTGTAGTATATACCCTGCTTATTTAAACAAAATGGAATTTATGTGTACATAATGGCATTGCTTCAGCTCTATGCAAAATTTACTTTCTCTGGGGGAGACATTGTAAAATATTATTTCAATATTCTAGTCACTTTTCAACTCCTAATGACAGTATAGTTTCTTTTCTGTGGTTACTATCTCAACCTGAGCAATGAGGATTTCAAGACTGCCTACCTGTTTAGGCTGTGGTGCTGTTCTGCTGTGGTGACTGGCTTTGCAAAAATACTGCTATTAGTGGTTAAGTACCCATGTCTTATTTTAGCCTCAGAACAAAGGTGTTATAGTAGGAAATGAACATGAGGGAGGTCATGTTGCATTCATGATCTATATTAGGCAAGATGTACAATTGCTTCTGTTTCATGTGAATCAAATCAGGGTACTCAAATGAGATTAAGAGCGAGCTCCCTTTGCTGCAACTCCCAGTTCTCTTTCCCTCCTGATGTAAAGCATGAGAGACAAGATGCGCACTGTAGACTTGATACTGTTTTTTGGAGGTAAAACAGCCAAAAATTTGTAATTATTAATATAAAAAATGCAATAAAAACTCCCAGAGAAAATAAAGTCTAGCAAGATTATAAATGTAATTGCATTTTAAGATCATCTTTATTAGGGCTAAGACCCTCACAAAGGATTGGCCACTTTTTATTGCTTTATGCACTGTAATAAGTCGATTCATTCTACTTTGAAATTAAATTTGTAGTGGAGACACCACTTGAATTTTTTTACAGTACTGATGCCAGAAAGTATTGTACAAAAGTACTGTGGTTCTGTTACCCTTTTTAGCATAAAGGATATAGGAAACTTGGGGAATTCTGGCAGGAGAAATTTGTCTCCTTGTTAACTTTTCTGCACTTTCCTTTTTTAGGTGACTTGATATTGAGGGGTAGGGAGAGTGTTGCAGCTACAGACCATAGCAAGGTTTGCAGTATACAGATGTGCAGGGCTGTGCCTCTGGACACAGGCTGCATGGTGTAGGTTTGGTCATGCCTCACTCAGCACATTGTTGCAGATGCTCAGCATGGGGACTCTCAGTTATTTTGATACTGTATGCTTAGAGCAGAATTGGTGTTTTGCTCATCCCTTCAGGAAATCTTTCCATGCAGGTGTTCCACTTAATATATCAAGCATTATTTTCTTTGAGGAACTGAGGAAACACTCTTTGTATATGCTTTTATTTAAAAAAAAAAAAGAGGTAAGCATCTAATGATAGTCAAAGGATGAATTCAAACAGATTAAATAATATTTCTGCTATTAAGCACTGTTTCTTCCATCAGAACCATCTAAAGGACCACCCATATGGAGGATCATTGATGCATCTCGCTCACCAGCTTCCTGGACTGTGCATCTGATGTGGAAGGTAAAGCAACATGATAAACTGCAGGAATTGAGCATTCTTTTAAAAACGGAGTTTTTAAGTGGCAAAATTTACCTCAACAAACTTGAGTACGTAGCTGGGATAGTAGAGGTTTTATTGATATGAGAAGTGACTATAGTATTCTTATTATAATAATTAGTTATGAAATATTAAAAGTACAGATGTAAAGGCTATCAGTTAACTGACACACATCTGTGATCCAGTGTATACAGAATCCACTTTCAGACTCCTGACTTGCTGTCCTTAAGCAGTCTGTGGAATTGGAAACTTTCACCTGAACAAAGTAAACCTTCATGTTATGCCTTCTGCTGTATCCTAAAACTTTTGTAACACTGTTTGGACAGGGTTACTCAAGCTGCAAAATCCATTAAGCCTACAGACATTCCAGAGGCCAAACTTATTAAATACAGCACTGCACGTTTGCATGCAGTGGGTTGCTGTGTCTAGTTGGCTGATTAGTTCAAAGCTGAGAAAGTGAATGTAATTATAGTCAGTCCTCATCTCCTGCTTTCTTTTGGTCTGTGAACATTATCACATTTGATCTAGCTGTCTTTTTATTACTACTTTTTCCCTATTACTAGGTGGCTTGTGTGAAGTTACAAGTATATTGATATGGCATCACTTTCTGATGTAACTCATATGCCACATGGCACTTCTGACATTATTTAACTTAGAATTGGAAAACCGGTGCTACTTTACAGTTTCAACAATTTTCTCTAAGTTATCTGAAAACTAATAGTTACACAGAAATATAGTATTTTTCTGTGTTATCTAATAACACAGAAACAAGTATTTTTCCATGTCTAATAAAAGAAACTACTCGGGCTGTTTTGCATTCGGGTTCAACACAGCTTAAGATGTGAGATTCCTTTTATGTCAATGTGTTGTAAAGTCACATAAAATGCAGGTTTTATCAACACATGTTCTGCAATCTTTACAGAATAGCTTTTATTAAACTACTAGGTAGGATTGTGAGCCAAGAAAAAGAGGATTTAAACCAGAAAAAGTTCTGGAAGTTTCTGCATTACAGAAATGAATGCAGGTTATTTGTGCTTTCCTTAAATATGCAGCAATTTGATCTGCGTAACTTGTCTTGATCTCAGATTTTTAACCTTTATTGTCTTTGCATAGTTTAAGTCACATTTGTTCAGTATCGGTCTAATCAAAGGTGTGTTTTTAACAGGCATTGGAGCCATTTGAAGCCAATGGAGTAATCTTGCAGTATGAAGTGACTGTCAGGGCTAAATCATCTCTCTCCAGTCCACCAGAGAAATACAGTGTTAATACCACCAACCTTACATTAAAGCTGCCAAATGGAACTTACGAAGTGACTGTGATTGCCCGTAACAGAGTCGGGGCATCCCCTCCATCAGTTTTACTTATCCCAGCAAGTAATTCAAAAGGTTAGTGTCGTAGTAATGTCTCCTTCAAATGTGTCTGCATGGCTTTTGTTATAAGAAATCTTCAGTGTTGTAAAATGATACCTTTTACATGGACACATAATTAAGGTATTACTGAATGTATCTACAGTCTTATGCCTTATCATTATGCTACCATTAGTATACTAGGGAACATGTAGATTTATGTACTCACAGGTTCATTTGAAGCTATGTGTGCTATTTTGCTGTTCTTTTTCATCCTTAGAGCTACTGTGCACTATATTCCCTATTGTTTCTTTTCTTCGAATAGCAGGCATTTTTTTTGTTTTCTTTTTAAAAAAATGAAAGGGTTGAGGAAGCAAGCATCTTTTACTTCATGTATATACCATCTCACCATTTTTCTTCTGCTTTCTCATCTCCACCCAGCCCTCTTCTTCTCTTGTCCCAGTCTCATTCTCCCACATTTTCAGTCCCAGTCTCACTGTCCCACATTTTCAGTATCTTGCCTGGTTGCTTTGTCATCTGCTTCCACTGTTTCCCTACTGTTCACGTTCCTTTTTATTATGTTCCTTTTGCTGTGCAGCATTAGTAACTACAGGCTGGTTTCTCCTTACTTCCAGCCTCCTCTTAGACAATCCAAACACTACCAGGACAGGAAGCAAAAAATAAGTCTACAGACAGATGCTGCTTTTAGTGTAAACACCAAGGGAGAGCCACAAGTTCTAACACTATTAGATGAACTAATTAAGAGTGTTTCAAACAGTAGCATTGCAGCTGGGAGTACTTGGTAAGGTACATGAGTGTAAGGATTAGAATGGGAATTTAGAAGTGTCTCAAGGTTTGATTTCTCTCTGAAATAGACCCTTTCTCTTGAAAGAAACATAGTGTCTCTTTACTGTGCAGTAAGGCAACTTACTGTGTTTGAGAACAGAGAAGCTGAGTCTAATTTCCAGTTTTTAAATAGCCTAATACTGCTTATTTTGGATCTCTGATACAAAGATTCTGATAGAAGCTTCCAAATTTCAGAAAATGGCTTTTACATTTACTTAGGTTCTGACAAATTGTCACCGTTACGATAACCCAAAAGTATCCACATTGGACAAAATAGCTATTATTATGAATATCTAGTGGCAGAACTGTCAATATTTATCACTTTTCTGTTTTCTTCCTTTACAGCCCCTGTGAAGAATGTTAGAACGCTACCTAAAGATGGCAAGTTGTGGGTAGGGTGGACTGCTCCTAACAGTTATGTTCTTAAATATGTGATTGAATGGTGTCTAGTGTCCAACAGCTCAGACTGCGTCACAGAATGGCAGAACGAACCAGGAAATGTTCAAGGAACATACTTAAAAGGTATTTAGCTCATAAGTCTACAAATACTTCATAGAACACTCTAAAAACCTAGTAAGTATTCTCAAAGTGAGGAACATCCTCATGCTGACTAGAATTTTATTGTAGGACAGGAATCTGGGATAATGCTGAGGGCTTCTCATAGTTTATCATTAGTGTGGAAGTATATGTATATCTTTGTCACATATAAAACTGTATTTACTCTTGCATTTTGAAATTCATATTATGTAACAGCAAGGGTTTTATCTGCATTTTGTTTTCAGTCTTCTCGTTCTTGGAAACCAGTAGTGAGCAGGCTGTGTTCCTTCAAAATCAAATTCTCTGACCCCTCTTGCATTTCAAACAACAAAATTTGATCAGCTTTACAGTTCCTTTCAGATTATGATCAGTAGCTGAAATCAATAATTTTGGGGTTCAGTGCTGCAGACAGATAAAGGCTTCTTATTTAAAATAAATTAGAAAAAAACAGACTTCCATGAAGTCTGTTTATTAAATCTAACATTTGAATATGAACCATTATATTGTTCCTTTAGTTAATATTTTGGAGCAGTATATCAATGATCTCTAGGAAAAATAGTCAGTTGCATTAGATACAAGTGCATCTTAATAAAACAGCCAAAACCGAGAACCCTGTGTCTGAAGTAAATGAGAAGATGAGGAATTGGTGAATGAGAAGTAAATGAGAAATGGTGAGGAATTTGACTGCCTGTGAAACAACACATTTTAAATTCCTTTTATTAGGTGATATAAAGCCGTTCAAGTGTTACTTGATAACTGTGTACCCTCTATATGCTGATGGTCAGGGAAGTGGACAGTCTGTGAAGGCTTATCTTCAGCAGGATCGTAAGTACAAAACAGTCATCTTGGAGCACATAAACTGATTTTCTTGACTAAAAATAATGAGACCTTTGCTTTAGTGTGGATGATGTAATGAAAAATGGCCCTACATTTGAGGGTCATCTGACATAATTGATCTTGTCCCTTCTATTAACATCCGTTCTGCTTATTTACAGTATGTAGGAGTTAAACAGGTGTCTGTGGCTGACTGTCCCTTTTTCCAACCTTTATCAGATAATTTGGTATGAGTTTGTTATTTTATTGGTGTAGTATTTTATAGTATTTATAGTATTTTATTTTAAATTTCAAGTATGAAGCCAAGACTAATGAACTTCAGTTGAAGATTTTGTGTGATCTGCTGATTACTGTTTTTCATGTTTTTTTTCCTGGAGGTTTCTCTTTTAAAACATCTATGGAGTTGCTATCTTGTCTGAAAATAATGCTTTGCAGATGAGTTAGTCCAGCTATTCCATTGAAATTTTTATGCAGTAGCAATTCAGTGCTCATTAATACACTGGTTCTGTGGATGCGAGGATGCCCAACAGAAACTAATCTTCATCTCCTATTACAGGTCCTTCAAAAGGACCAACTGTTCAGACAAAAAAAGTAGGAAAAGCTGAAGCTGTTTTGACATGGAACCATCTCACAGTGGATGAACAAAATGGGTTTATCAGAAGTTACACCATATTTTACAAAACTATCGATGGAAATGAAACAGGTAACAGAAAGCAGGGAAGTGCTTTGTGGCATTGAAGTATTCCATCTGTCGCCTTCCTAATACATGTTCCTGAAAAACAAGATACAGAATTGAGTGTGGCTGACAGTCTGTTCTGATGACACAAAGCTGATGTCTGAAGGATAGCTCTCCTCCATACTGAACAGAAAAGTCCCAATAAAGAATTCAGAACATTCAGTGTGTGTATAACAGGGCACTGAGTTTAGTTTCTGAAAGCTGATTTGCAGGTATTGTGCCCCCATCTTCCTATCTAAATACAGGATGAGAGAATGGTGTAGCAAGATGAAGCTAGACCATTCAAGAAGTACAGGAGTTGACTGCATTTAAGTATGAAAAAGCCTTAAAAAAAAAAAAAGGGGGTGGGGTGGATTTTTTAATCCTCCTGGAGCTCTAGATCAATATTAGTGATGTAAAACATCTTGTTTGAAGTGCATTTTAGTTCTCAGTAGTGTGTATGACCTGCAGGCATAAGACAGGAGCTAGTGCTATCAAAAGCTTTTCTTTTTTAGATTTGCTTAAATTGTAAGGGCCAATTACTTATGCCTACCCTACTTCTCTTTATTTCTAGTTAACCATGTTTTTTTCTAGTTAGTAACTAGCTATTTCTAGTAAGCCATGTATTCTGCTTATTAGACCTTTAAGCCTCAACTTTACTGCTAGCTTAGTTTGTAGCTACATTCTGGGGGGAAAAAAACACAGGAAATTAACACAAAAATACCATCAAGAAAGAGACTAAATTCAAACACTTGAACAGAAACAAACGAATCTCAGCATTTCTTGTACAAGTTTGTAGTCTTTCTGTGTCTGTTGTAGTTTTAGTAGAATGCATGGCTGTATGGAAAATATCTTGTGCATCTGAAGACATGATGTCCTAATGCTACTGTGTTTGTGGAGATCTAATAAAATGTATAGAAAACTAGCATAATTTTTTTCCTCTCTTTAGCTGTGACAGTGGATCCTTCCAAGACAGAGTATACCCTTTCGTCTCTAACCAGTGACACACTGTATACTGTGCGGATGATGGCATACACAGATGAAGGAGGCAGGAGTGGTCCTGATTTTACATTTACTACACAAAAATTTGGTAAGGAAGAGTGGCATAATTAGTAGAAGTGAGAAGTAATGTTGCAACAGTATAGCAAGGCTCTGTGCAAGATCTGATAGGAGGGGAAGGTGATTTTATTTAAAGAAAAAAGTTTCAGTTGCAGTCACTCACAAGGTGCATGGTATCCATACTATCTATCTAGTACCCAGTCACAAAGAGGTAGTTTAGTCAGGATTTCTTCTGATTGTACAGAGGACAAACTATCCTCTGCAGGTCTCCTGGATAGCTCTTTTATGTTGGCAAACGTGCTGGTTTTGGATGTGTTTTGTGTATACTTTAGGTTATAGCATTCTTTTGCCCCAACTTTGTGTGAGTCATTAGGATTTACTCAGTACCCTTGTCTTCTCTTCTGGTGTCTGATGGCTCCTACCCTGGTCTTAGAGTCCAGAGTCATTGTTTTAATCTGAAGGTAGGTTGGCCTTTATTATCATGTGGGTGTCCTGAGAAGCTGCAAAGGTGTGCTGGGATCTTGATCTGCTAATCTATGTGCCAGTCAGCACATACTATTCTTGCAGCCCTTCCTCAGGTTCCTCATTCTCATTCATACCACTATTAAAGTTTGCTCCAGTTCTCTACAGAGACTCATTTTGAAGAGTTAAATTTATTGTATGTTCAGCTTTAGAGAGTGGTTCCTATTTGTAATGGTAAGAGCAACAACATAAACTGAACTTAGTTGTGGAAAGCACTTCTTTAGATTTAGCAGGCTTTTGTATTTTTTTCTGTATAGTGTTGCTCTTCCCTAAGCATTCTGTTAGGTTTACTTAAGAGTGTGTATAACATTGGAAGGAATACATAACAATAATGCAACCTTAAGTGTTTGCAGGCAGAGAATATTTTCATGTACAGAATAAACTGATGGATGACTAGTGACTTTGCTTGCATTACTTATTTGACCATGATGTTATGGCAGCCAGTAGGCCACTGAAACACCTGGACCACAGATGAATTCACATAGATGTTACTGTCATATCTGCCCAAACTGTAACTTTACTTGCTTCATCAGTATTACAGCTTCTAGAGCAACCTGTGTTTTTTGTTGATGCAAGGCATTGGATTGTTGGGACAGAGCTCTTCACGTTTTCACCAACAGGCTCTTTTCATATGGTGAAAAGGTTCTTCTGAAGGTGAAGCTTAAGACTGAGCGCTGTGGGTGTATTCAGTTTCAGATTTTTTCCCTGTCCCTTTGGGAATATATGCCACTGCTGAGTTGCTTAAATGCCAAAGTGGGCTGTAACTGCTTCTCTTCGTTTTCTTCAGGGAAGGGGGAAATTGAAGCCATAGTTGTACCTGTGTGTCTAGCGTTCCTGTTGATTGTGCTCCTTGGAGTTTTGTTTTGCTTCAACAAACGTGACTTGTAAGTATAAATGAAGTCTTTCTCTTATGCTTCTGATATTTCTGGGCATAACAGAGAGATGGCAATAATTCAATACAAACAAGTAAATATTCTACAGTTAGAAAAAGAAGGTAAAACACACATACATTGATTGGTGATAAACATTTCCTTGACAAATCAGGGCCTCTTCTGATACTGATTTCTTACTGTTAACGATGGCACACAAACTAAATGTTCCATGACTCAATCCTGCAAGGAAATTCCTGCTTTTCTTGCTAGAGTTGGTCAGGATTAGGTTTGTTAAGTTTCTATCAGGATATACAGTCTGTGTTGTTTTCTTAGTCATCATATCAGAGTGGAATGATGGTCCCTAGTTTGTGAAGCACAGAAGATCTGTTTGCTGGCTGTATTTTAGCTATCTAATGAGTGTTAGCAAACTTTTAAGCTTTACAGCCAAAAAAATTACACAGACATCTTATTTATCTGCCTTGCATAACCTCAGTCAAACTCTGTGCCTATTTACTATCTGCTGGGAAACATCCTGCCTCCTCCTGCTCCCTCTACCCCAGAGCTCTTGTCTGTGGCTTTAGCTGAGAGCTTATTGCTGAAGAGTTTTCCCTGGCAAGGAGTAGCACCTCTCCCATGTCCCCAGTCAACTATCTTTTCTTTCTAGTTAAAGACAGCATTTTGTGCCCTTTTCCTTCTGACCTCCCTGCTGCTCCTAAAATCAGTTCTTAATGGGTATCAGTTGAAAAGCCCATCTTGCAATGTTCTTCAAAAGTTCTACACAGGATCTGTTGTTGGAACCTGTTTATAAAGAGCAGGATAGATGCATCAGTTTCAAAGTTAGTTTGGGGGTGATTTGTCTACAAAAACTTCTATTGTTAAGTAACAGTTACTACATTCTTAAACATAAGAGGTCAGAGTTAGAAAAGACCAAGTTTTTCTTCAGATATTTTCACTTCATTTAGCTGTGCAGTTGGCTTAGATTTTGACACCTGTGATATTCATAGTCATCTTAAAGAAGCAACAGTGTATTTTTATACTGATGTGCATCATAGACTTTACCTAAATAATTGCTCTATAGATTCTAGAGTGCTATAAATTTGAAAATCCCTCACTAACCATTACTGTTTGTTGGTTTGCCTTATGTTGGATGGCTACATTTAATGTGTGGAGGAGTTACAAGTGCAGTGCTGTGTTTTGCTAAGTAGTACAGCTTCCTACAAAAATGTGAAGAAGTGCAGGAAGCACTCCTATTTGGAAACAAATACTCTTGCAAAATTGCTGTGTAAGGGAGTGGTGTCCTGGCTTATGTAGTACCTGCTATCAACATAGGAATTTGGGGAGTGCATCTTGTAATTTTACTCTGTTTTTAATCCTTTACAGAATTAAAAAGCATATCTGGCCTATTGTCCCTGATCCATCCAAGAGTAACATTGCTCAGTGGTCTCCTCAAGTTCCAGCTAAGGTAATACTCATGTTTCTGCATCCTGTATCTTCCTAGTCCACAAGGTTTCAAATAAACTAACCAGTGGGAGTCTTCTGTCTTCTAGCACACATGGATTTCAAGGGAAAAAAACCTGGATGTTAAGTTTAATGACATTGTGATACGATATGGTTAGACTTTATTGCATCAGTAGATTCAGCATTAGAAATATATGGCCCTTAGCACAAGTTGACAGCATCGAGCAGGCTTTAACATTGTGAATTATATTCAGTTTACTAGTTGGAAGAGTCATGAATGAGAGAGAGCGCTTTAAGAGTTCCTCATGGATGAGGAGATGGCAGCAAAATTTATGCGCCATGTGGGGTGAATGACATAGCCACAGTTTATTGAACAGAATTTGCTAACTTCTATGAAGAAGTGCTGTGATGTTGAATACATTATTGGAAGTAATGTATGTATGGCCTCAATATAGAATGTTCCTGTGCTGCACAGCAAATGGTTCTATGTTTACAGCTCTTAAGAATAATTAAAATTAGAGGAAAGCTTGCACACCCACTATGGTTTTAGCTTTGTTTCCAATACAAAGTCTTAATTATGCAGCTATTCTATGTCCTTCATTTTGTAACAGGTACTTAGGAGATATTGCCAGACTTAGTGAGGAGAAAACTTATATGAAGAAACTCGAAACAATTACAGAATAAAAATTCAGATATTTAATGGGGTTTTTGATTTTTAACATAAACTTCCTCTTAGGCAACATCCATCTCTTTCTTTCAGCATAACTTTAGTTCCAAAGATCAGATGTACCCAGAAGGCAGCTTTACAGATGTAAGCGTCGTAGAAATAGAAGCTGATGACAAGAAGTCTTTTTCAGAACAAGATTTAAAACCCTTTGATTTGCTTAAAAAGGAGAAAAGTACTTCAGAAGGGCACAGCAGTGGTATTGGAGGATCCTCGTGCATGTCTTCTCCTAGGCAGAGCGTCTCTGACAGCGATGAAGGTGAAGCTACACAAAACACTTCAAGCACTGTACAGTATTCAACTGTAGTACTTAATGGCTACAGAGACCAAACACCTGTACAAGTCTTTTCAAGGTCTGAGTCGACTCAGCCACTGCTAGATTCAGAAGAGAGGTCAGAGGATCATGCTGGAGGAGGTGACAGTGCAACACAGAGGCAGCAGTATTTCAAACGAAATGGTGGTCAGGATGAAACCAACGCAGACAGGCCATGCTTTGAAAGAACAAAGCAAATTACTCCTGCTAATGAGGGGGATCTTGTTGGATTTGCACAACTGCAGATCTCAGGTCAGAGTTCACAGCTGTTGGGCATTGAGCTGGAAAAAAATACCCAGGAAGCTGCTCTAGCAGATGTTTTACAGACAAGTACTGAAGGACAAACTGTGAGACCTGAAACAGTGGAGGGAAGTCCACTGTCAGTTGATGAAATGCCAAAAAGTTACCTCCCGCAGACTGTGAGACAAGGGGGCTACATGCCTCAGTGAGAGAAGAGACTGGCTCTGTTTAGGCCTTCCTTAGTGCCTGTTCACACTTTCTCCTGTGTTTCTGATAAATTAAGCTAGGTTTTTTATCTGAATGCAGATAGAAATACTGAAATTAAGTGAAGAGTAATTTGACAAAGTACAGTAAGGACTGTGTTTTTGTGGAAAACTTGCAGTCCAGACCTACTGGAGACTTACTTTTATGCACTACATAAAATCTTATGTCTGGATAGCTGAACAAGCCTTTGTGCTACCTTGGGTTTTTTGTCTTGTCATACCAGATCTACACATGACTGAAAATGGCAAGTTTCAGTTAATCACATCAGCCAATAGACCTAGAAGAAATACTTCAATTTGTAACAGTGTACAAGCCTAAAAAGCCAGCTTTAGTTGCCTGGAGCATCTTTGTGCAGAAGTAAGACTGAAGCTTAGTATTCTAACATGAAAGAATACTTGTGTCATATACTTTTCAGTAGCTTGATTGACTTTCTGAATTTTGACTTGGCTCAGTGTCTCAGTTTCCAGCTTACCAGACGTGCAAATCATGTTCATCCCTGTTGAAAAATTATAAAAAATAAATAGAACTTGCTATGGTGTGCAAATAAGAAAACACCATGATTGCTTGACTCTGAGCTACTATAGTAATTGATACTCTGCCTACATTTAGATATGTGTGCACATGAGCTATATAATGATTTGGCCTAAAAATGTACCTTGCAACTTGACGCACAGCAATTCAGTCTCATGTTCAAAAGTTTAAAAATACAGATGAAAACACAGATTAACAGTTATTTAAAGGTTTTGTACCCAAATCACTGTCTGATTATACCCTACCTCTCTGGTCATATAAATTGCCTTTGTTTAATAAGTGCACCTTTGCTGTATACAGCTTGAGAGACAAGTAACAAGCTGTAAGTTTTTACTGTTTTTCTAACTGCTCAGGAGAAAGGGAATGTGACCTTCTTCCTGATTGACTACAATAAGTGTGCTGTAACCTCACTGCTAATGCTGCAGGACCTCCTTGAAACTGAAAGCAGCAAAAAACAAAGCATTGAAGTCATTGAAGCTCTCAGAAGCAAAACCAAAACTTTATACCCTGAATTTGAATGTTACTGGTAGTATAGGCTATAGTATATGTTACTATAGGCTGTATCTATTAGCAATCGTGAGCCACAAATAACACTTACGTGGTTGTTAAAATTCCTCACTTTTCTCTTATGTCTCACTTTTCCCCTGTTCGTACAGTTTGCATTTTATTGAAGAAGATACATTTCTTGGAGACTGTCTCTACCAATGTTTAAAGAAAAGTGAAATTAATTAAAATCAACCCCTTCTCTGATGATAATTAGAAATTTTATGGCACTCTTGTAGATTTTTTTTTTTAACCTTAACTTAGTCTAGTCAGCTTTCTAACCTGACACTAATAAAACCTTAATTCAAAACACTATATGCTGTGTTGTGAGAATAAAACAATGGTTTTATTTCTCCTTCAGCAAAAGAATGTATTTAAGACCACCTGAAACCTTTTGTGCTGTGACCTCTGGTGCTGCTGTTCTGCAAAGCACTTGCTAAAGGCCCTGGAAAGGCAGGTGTCAGTATCATTTCAACTTCCCTTGTCCTTGTATGCCAGCTTGCATGAAAGGACAGGTATACATATAAATGTTCACATGTGCCTTCTGTTACAAAGAAATTCAATGTTTGAATAAATTCGTAAGATTACCTCTTGAAGTCTGGACTATTTAAAACAGAGTGCAGAATCTTTAACATTTCAGTATTCCACAGTTCCTTTCTCCCAACAGTATTTTTTGTATCTGGGCACTTTTTTAAACTAAAAGGCTATGCTGCAGCTTACTAGAACTACATGTTTCTTCAAACTAGTCCCTTTCCCTTTCTCCCCCCTCCACCTCAGCACCTTCAAACTCCCTCCCAGAGGGCAAGGGCATAATGAAAACTATGCTGTCATAAGACAGCAGAGACTGTCTTTCATTTTTTCGGAGGTTGAAGGAGCATTCCTTTGTCAGAACACCTTCCTCTTGGAAAATAATAGCAGTTACTTTACTGGGGGATCAGTTGTCTTCTCTATGCAAACTTCATAGTGACTGTAGTAACCACGAGTAAAAGGGAAAGTCTGACAAAACTAACAAGTGTGCGTGCTTGTTAGAACTGCCCTGCAGCCATGTGCGTCTAATCCACCTCCTGCTCATCTCTGAAATACTGTGGGCCACAACCTAGCTACTTAGTCTGAGCATTGCTTCGAAGGCCTGGATGTTTTTAAAGCCATGCTGATGATTTATTTCTTTTATTTATTGTTTTTTGTGATCTAGTGATACTAACTTTTGGTAGCATATGTCATATTTGAGGGACATCTTCAGTTATTCCTGAAGTTGCTATTTGCCTTTCTGTTATGTAAAGGGAAGGCATTTTGTTCTCAGTTGCTGTTAATCATGGACCATTTCCAATGTTAAATAAACAGCATCAAGAGATTCTCATTTTCAAAGGTCTGTGCTAACAAGAGTTCTGGCCTGTCACTTCTGGCATTGCTCTTTCTTTGTTGCTTATGGGCCAGTGGTAATAAACTCTCAGAATTGTACAGCAGTGTGTCCTAGAAAGAATTCTGTCTGGCTGGCAGAGTTATATTCTATCTTTCAGGCTTGTACATTTCTCTAGGGCTAAAATACTAAAGACTAGGCAGGAGATACTGGTGGGTGAACAGCTTGTAGAAGCCACAATATGTGTAACTAACAGGTTTACAGCTTGTTCGTAAACCTATGTGCCAAATATTATATCATGCAGTGTTCAGGTTTAACTTGATTTTGTACTTTGGATCATAACAATCTAATTGTATCAAACAGTCGCATACAGGTTTTTAGAGTGTCTGTGATGTAATTATAGCAATCCACTGAAATTCTCTGAACTTGGCCCTAACATAGTAATTAAAGAAAAAGCCTTCCCCCTCCCCCAATAACTATGGTGCACTTTACAAAATAAAGGCATTATTAAAATAAAATCACACTTCAGTATTGACACTTTCATGTCCATCTTGATTTCCTGGACTGGAACTTTTCAGGTAGGGGTGGGAGAATAGTTGTAAAGACCTTGTTACTTTAGTGGCAGGGAAGGGAGGCTAGTAGAAATACAAAATATTTTTCCTGTATTAGCAAGTTTGAAACATCTCTTAAGTGCAGGCTGGCTAACTGTTCCTCTGTTGACAAGAAAAGTGAATATATTTCTCTCTCTAGTTCTGTTATGGTGGTTCCGTTAGAACAGGAGGTTGTTGGGGTTGTTTCCTGGCTGTGTTGGCTTGCTTTCAGGGCAGTAAGTCTGGGAATATCCTCTCCCACTGTAGTGAAAGTCTTGGGATTACGTTTTATACACCCTACTGTAGTAAACTAAACTGCCTGTAAACCTTAACCTGGCAGTGCAAAGCAGAACAGGAGGGTTGGGGTTGTTTCCTGGCTGTGTTGGCTTGCTTTCAGGGCAGTAAGTCTGGGAATATCCTCTCCCACTGTAGTGAAAGTCTTGGGATTACGTTTTATACACCCTACTGTAGTAAACTAAACTGCCTGTAAACCTTAACCTGGCAGTGCAAAGCACAGCAGAGCAAAATTTTTTCTAAATTTCGTTCTGGAGTGTTTGGGACAAGCATGTGCCTATCTGTGCTACAGGAGCCTAGCAAAATGCTAATTATCAGGACTGGAAAAAACTTTGGCCTTGGGAAGAGGAGGGAGTTTGCATGCAAGGGCTGAGTCCTGTTCTTGGGCACTGATGAAGCCCCATGGCCTCGGGTGGGGTTCGCAGCTTCAGCTTTGACTGTAAATCATGAGCACTGCCAGATGGTTAAAACTTACATTAGTGTGCCCGATATGTGGGAATAACCATGCTGATTTAACTTCAGTAATTGAACTTGTTTAATTAGTGCCAGGTCTTGAATATCCAAGATCTCATCAATACATGCTGCTATGGTATTGACTTCACAGTGGGATCTGCAACTCCGAAGACTCTCAAATTGTTAATAGTCAGCCCTGCTCCAAGACATACACATTTTAAATTGTAATTTATGTGCATTAAATGAGACTAAATATACTAGTTTATTTTCCCTGAGACAGTTGTAATTGAGATTAACTCTTATTTGTATACATTCCTTTAACTATGTTAAAAAGTTCTCTTGACTGATGGATTGTAAAACTTCATTAATCCCTGTAACCTCTTGCCTGTTTGCTAGGATGTATACATACAGCCATTTTAAATTCCAAGAGTTTCTTTTAATGTTATTTGGAAGCAGTTTATAACAAAAATATTGAGTCTCTTGTCATGAAACAGCCATTTGGGAATTAGAGCCAACCCCCCAGTCTTCAAGTTTGGCTCTTGATCCAGAAAGCTGTGGTAAAGCGGAGGTGTAAGTGCAAAAGTCTGGAGAAGGGTAGAATCAAGTATCTTGCATTGGATTCACAAATATGCATTTCTCTTACTTAAAAGTGAAAGGATTAGTTAAAAAAAAAATTAAGCTAAAACGTGTATGTGTGTTTGCTTTTACTGTTGTTTCTTTTGTAGCACTTGTGCAGTCTGAGCCATTCCTAAAAATGAAAGCAGTGCTGACTTAATACACAAGGATGCATTTTTAAGGCCACATCTTTTTGTATCTGTTTTGATACAAACAGATTTAAAATTAATGACTAAGGACCAGATCTCAACAATTGTCTACTTCCCCCCCTCTTAACTCTAGTGCAGAGAGAGGGTGGGCAGTAAGTATCTCCCAGAATGCAGCCTTAGCCAGTACTTGCGTTTATTTGCAAAGACAACCTTAAAGGGGATATATGCAATAAAGTCACTGATACTCTGCAGAAGCACACTTCTGTAACAATGGATGAAAAACACATATGGCACAACTGTCAGACGGCTGGAAAGCTCCACATCCTCCTGCTCAGACTGAAGCGTCTCTGGCACCCCGCACCAGCTGTTCTCCAGTGATGGCAGGCGCAGCAGATGAGCATTCTCCGTGGTGTTGAAACTGGTAACACCTATCGCTTTTCTTCATATCAAAGCACATTCGTTAATGGATCCAGTCAACTTACTGTGTTTTTTAACACACCAGTCTTGTTTACAGTGTCACATGTAGCCCGACACTCTGATACAGCGATGGATTGTCTAGGAACCACGTGCTTTTATTTGGGATTAAGGAGTCTGTGGTCAAGGTTACTGGTCACCAAATGTTGCTGTGCTGATACATGCATCTAGTTAAGCCGAGGTGTGGGACACAGGGACAGACGTACTAACAAGGAAAGTGCCTTGATGCTGGATTGGATGGCTAGTGAATGTAAACATTAAGTCAAATTTTACTATGTACTTAAAGTAGGGCTGATAAAGCTACTGGTAGTTTGAATGCCAGCTTTAAAGGGCTTGCATACTCTGGCCAGAGGTTAAACTTGTAAATTGCTGCATAAGCTGTCACTATATGGAAATGTGTTTTAATACTAGTACACTTATGTTCATTCTTTTGCAAGCTGCATGTTTATTGTCATATAAACTCTGCTTTCTACAATTTACTTTATGGTCAGTTTTGAATGTCCTCTTTGTTACCCAACTGAGCCTGAATGTTGCATTTGTCTAATACATAATACACGAAAAGAAAACAAAATGCCATACTTACCTTGCGTGCTGGAGTCAGTGTTTTGTAAGGCTGACTTAAGTAGTAACCACAGGAGAAGAGTCTGGGCACTACCTAACAGGCAAGAAATGGAGAGGCATTCCCAGAGAGAGACATGATCATGGTGTGCCAGGACAAAGGGCTACCTAGTTGGGTATATTGGGCAAGTTCAGCAGCAGGTGAATGCTCTTTAGTCCTCCCTTTGTAATTGCTCCTGTAAATAGGTGTCAGCTGTGGCTGGCTGACCTTGGTGGTGAGGCAGGTCACTGTCCCAGGGGCCCGGCTCTGTTCCCGTTGCTGGCCATGGGTGTGTACGTACGTTCTGCGCTCCGGTGTCTCGCTAGGGAGGGGGTGGCTGTGTCTCCCTGCGGCTTGTGCTCTGAAGAGGTAGGACTGGCACTCCAGGCAGGCGTGTTTAGGTCTGTTGAAAATGGGAAGAAGAGTGTCCAAAAATCCCGTTCTAAGGAACACTATGGGAGTGAGGAGCAGGGTATAATGCTGTCTACTCACACAGACTCATTTCCAAGAAAGGAGTCACAGACCTGGCTATGTCTGACATTGCCCTCAGTCTCACCTGGGTTTGGTTCTTTTGTTTCTAATGGGTGAAGGACCCTCACAGGCCTTTAGTGAACTTACATCTCACTCCTGAAAAAGCACAGTTGGATCTTCAAAGGATGGTCACATCCGCAAAAGGCTTCAAGGGCGGCACCTGAGGAAAGACAGCTTCCCCTTCCTGGCGAAAGTTCTGATTTGTGTAGGCAGACTCAGACCCACGTAAAACTGAGGGGGGCAGGAGGGGGATGGGGGTGTTAAATTATGTGACACCTCCAGCACCAAAAATCATTTCTGTCACTGCCACAGAAGAGCCATCCCAGACACGTCATGCCAGTTAGCACTTTGGTGTTAAATTAGGTGCAAATATAACACTAGACTCCTTTTCCAAAATGTTAGTTCACTGCACAGTAGTTCGCTTACCACTTTTTCACATAAGGCCCCTGAAGTTTCTACAGGAGCATGGGGTCTTTGCGTGTCCTCCTCACCCGAGCTCCTAGCTGCTGAGCATCAGCCCATTT